AAAGCATAAACCATAGAAAGGAAAAATGCTCAGGACACAAAAACATAGTGGGAGCTGAAGTCAAGTACTTGTACTCAGGAAGTTCGTTTTTCACCTCTCTCTCTTCCTCTCTTCCTCTCTCCCCAAGAGACAACCCCTGCAGCCAACAAGGCAGCAACGAGCACGACTGATACGCCAACCACCCCCAAAAATGAAAAGACTACTCCTGCGGCCACTGAGGCTGAAACAACCACAACAGACCCTCCCACCACCCCTGAAAAGGAAGAGACAACCCCTGCAGCCACTGAGGCAGCCACGACGAAGGCAGACTCTCCCACAGCCCCCAAAAATGAAGAGACTACCCCTGTAGCAACAGAGACAGATGCTCCAACCACCCCTGAAAATGAAGGGACTACTCTCATGGCCACCGAGGAAGCAACAACTGAGGGAGAACCTCCAACTACACTTGAAAACGAAGAAACTACTGGGGCAACAGAGGAAGTAACAACAGAGGAAGACTCTCCTACTGCCCCTGAAAACGAAGAGACAACCCCTGTAGTCACTGAGGCAGCAATGACAGAGGCATATGCTCCCACCACCCCTAAAAATGAAGGGACTACTCCTGTGGCAACCGAGGCTGCCACGACCACGACCGAGCCTCCCACCACCCCTGAAAAAGAAGAGACAACTGCTGCAGTCACTGAGGCAGCCACAACGAAGGCAGATGCTCCCACCACCCCTAAAAATGAAGGGACTACTCCTGTGGCAACCGAGGCTGCCACGACCACGACCGAGCCTCCCACCACCCCTGAAAAAGAAGAGACAACTGCTGCAGTCACTGAGGCAGCCACAACGAAGGCAGATGCTCCCACCACCCCTAAAAATGAAGGGACTACTCCTGTGGCAACCGAGGCTGCCACGACCACGACCGAGCCTCCCACCACCCCTGAAAAAGAAGAGACAACTGCTGCAGTCACTGAGGCAGCCACAACGAAGGCAGATGCTCCCACCACCCCTAAAAATGAAGGGACTACTCCTGTGGCAACCGAGGCTGCCACGACCACGACCGAGCCTCCCACCACCCCTGAAAAAGAAGAGACAACTGCTGCAGTCACTGAGGCAGCCACAACGAAGGCAGATGCTCCCACCACCCCTAAAAATGAAGGGACTACTCCTGTGGCAACCGAGGCTGCCACGACCACGACCGAGCCTCCCACCACCCCTGAAAAAGAAGAGACAACTGCTGCAGTCACTGAGGCAGCCACAACGAAGGCAGATGCTCCCACCACCCCTAAAAATGAAGGGACTACTCCTGTGGCAACCGAGGCTGCCACGACCACGACCGAGCCTCCCACCACCCCTGAAAAAGAAGAGACAACTGCTGCAGTCACTGAGGCAGCCACAACGAAGGCAGATGCTCCCACCACCCCTAAAAATGAAGGGACTACTCCTGTGGCAACCGAGGCTGCCACGACCACGACCGAGCCTCCCACCACCCCTGAAAAAGAAGAGACAACTGCTGCAGTCACTGAGGCAGCCACAACGAAGGCAGATGCTCCCACCACCCCTAAAAATGAAGGGACTACTCCTGTGGCAACCGAGGCTGCCACGACCACGACCGAGCCTCCCACCACCCCTGAAAAAGAAGAGACAACTGCTGCAGTCACTGAGGCAGCCACAACGAAGGCAGATGCTCCCACCACCCCTAAAAATGAAGGGACTACTCCTGTGGCAACCGAGGCTGCCACGACCACGACCGAGCCTCCCACCACCCCTGAAAAAGAAGAGACAACTGCTGCAGTCACTGAGGCAGCCACAACGAAGGCAGATGCTCCCACCACCCCTAAAAATGAAGGGACTACTCCTGTGGCAACCGAGGCTGCCACGACCACGACCGAGCCTCCCACCACCCCTGAAAAAGAAGAGACAACTGCTGCAGTCACTGAGGCAGCCACAACGAAGGCAGATGCTCCCACCACCCCTAAAAATGAAGGGACTACTCCTGTGGCAACCGAGGCTGCCACGACCACGACCGAGCCTCCCACCACCCCTGAAAAAGAAGAGACAACTGCTGCAGTCACTGAGGCAGCCACAACGAAGGCAGATGCTCCCACCACCCCTAAAAATGAAGGGACTACTCCTGTGGCAACCGAGGCTGCCACGACCACGACCGAGCCTCCCACCACCCCTAAAAACAAAGAGACAACCCCTGCAGCTACGACCAGGCCTCTCACCACCCCTAAAAAAGAAAGGACTACTCCTGCAGCCACAACCAAGCCTCCTACCACCCCTATAAATGAAGAGACAACCCCTGCAGTCACTGAGGCAGCCACAACGAAGGCAGATGCTCCCACCACCCCTAAAAATGAAAGGATAACCCCTGTGGCCACCGAGGCAGCTACAAAAACTACAACTCTTGCACCAAAAGTAGCAACCACCACATCTGAAGACGACAGGACTACAGCAGGACAAAAGAAAACGTCAACAACAGCTAGAGCTACTGTATCTGAAGAGGCCCTAATTTTTGATAAGGCAGACAGAACCACCACCGCAGATGAAAGCATAATGACCACCACAACTACAGCAGGTAAAGACAGCACCACAACAGCCAAACAGACAATAACAACAGTTAAGCTAGACACAACTGCTACAGACAAAGAGATTGTAACAGGAACAGATGAAAAAGACAGAACAACAGCTAAAACAATTAGGACTCCGGTAACCAAAGAGGCAACAAGTAAAAAGGAAACAACAACAGCTAAGAAAGACAAAGCGACAGACTCTATGGTGATGACAGCTAAACCGGATGAATCTCCTGAAGGTAAAGTTGAAACTCCAGATACAACTCCTGCAGCCACAGGAGCGGTAACAGCAGCGGCTAAAATAGAAGCAACTACGGTGGACAAAAAGATTGTAACAACAGCTAAGGGAAAAGAAACAGCCCCAGCTAGACAAGATAAAACCCCCAGGCCAAAAGAGACTTTAACATCAACAGCTAAAAAAGAAATACATCTGGTGGACGCAGTGACTGTAACAACAACAGTGGCTACAAAGCATACAACTCCCATGCCTAAACCCATAGCATTGACCACAACTGCCCAAACAGGTTCAACTCCCCAAGGCACGCGGATTGTGACAACAACCAAAAGAGCTGCAGCCAAAGGAACCACAGCCGTCACTCCGCTTGAAGAGACAACCATTGCCAGTAAAGAAACAACAACTCTTACCAAAGGTACAACCCCAGGCAAGAAGGAAGAAGCTGCTGGTACCAGCAGGGAGACAGCGACAGCTAACAAAAAAGAGCCAACCACCGAAAAAACTACCACCACAACTGAAAAAAACCCAGAAGATGCAGGAGATATGAGGGTCACAGCGAAAGAAACGTTGATCATTTCTAAAGGGACAGCCCAGCCAGCTGTAATTTCCCGGGAGATTACGGATGCAAGAGATGAGCCTCTGACGTCTCGCCCTGAAACTCAGCCAGCCAAAGAAGAGCCTCAAAGAAACATTAAGCCCTTAATCCAAACTGGGGACTTCCCAGCTTTGACCGGAGAAACGCAAGGTAATCGCTTCCCGTTAGGGACAAAAGCACCAGTAACTCCACCAGAGAGCCCAGCGAGAGGAGGT